CACACATCTTGTTGAAATCTAATATCCTGCAATTATTTTCTCTCTTGCCACATTTTAACGGAGCATTGAATATGATTTATTTGAATTTCCCCTGCCTCGGTTATGAGCTTACATATGTATATATCTATATTTGGGCGTGGCTTTCATCTCGTTAGCAGCGTCACCTGCAGCATTAATTAAGCAACAAATGGCAGCAAACATGCCTCAAAATGGACTCGCAAAGCTATATGGATGGAAAAGCGTGAATCAAGCATGATCTTGGGCAATCACCGAGGGGGGTTTCGGGCGGGAAAAGACATTCATAGAGATGCCCAGGAGAGATTGCTGCAACAAGATTCTTATCACCGGGTAACAAAACAAAAACAACGTTTGAAGACTGCCACCTGCAGCCATCTGCAACATCAACAACAATCTTGGCAAAAATCTAGACTCTGAACAACGAAAGACCCGATACGGCCACAATCCAGGGCGATGATAAAGTTATAAAAAACGGAGCATTTCCGATTAAGTTGATTGTCGAAAATTTGCAAACAGATGAAATATTTCAGCAATGTGATTTAATGGCCATGTGGTGGCATCCACACGGTAATTGCAAACGCCAGCGGGGCGTTTTGCAACAGCAATACGAGGTGTGTTCAAAAAGTAAGGTGACTTTTCAAATTTCTCGGGCAACATATTTTCGATTATCGTTTTTTTTGTTTTGTTATATTGGTACACTCTTCCCTAACATCTGTACCAAGTTTCAATGGAACATCCTCTTTTGTTTGGTTGTGAGAGGCGTAAAGTTACAAGTTGTTTTGCGAGCTCGGCGATTTTTTGCTTTTTTCGGTCTTGGCTCGTCTGGGCTCTTCCATTGGGACGATTGGGCTTTGGTTTCGATATCATAACCATATACCCATGATTCGTCACCAGTTATGACCCTTTTGAGTAAATCTGGGTCGTCGTTGACGTCATTCAACAGCTCTTGAGCGATGCTCATGCGACGGTTCTTTTGCTCAAAATTCAGCAATTTCGGAACAAACTTCGCTGACACACGACTCATACCCAAAACGTTTGAAAAAATTTCATGGCACGAGCCAAGCGATATACCGACATCTTCAGCAACTTCTCTGATAGTGATTCGACGATTTTCCAAAACAATTTTCGTCACTGCTTGAACGTTTTCATCAGTTGTTGACGTGCTTGGGCGTCCAGAGCGAGGCTGGTCATTGGCATCTTCCCGGCCATCTTGGAAGAGTTTGTACCACTTGTACACATTTTTTTTACTCAGAACAGTTTCACCGTATGCCACTGTCAACATTTCAAGTGTTTCAGAGCACTTAATTTTATTTTTTACACAAAATTTGATGCAAATCCTTTGATCCATATTTTTCGATAGCAAAAAATCGCCGAGCTCGCAAAACAACTTGTAACTTTACGCCTCTCACAACCAAACAAAAGAGGATGTTCCATTGAAACTTGGTACAGATGTTAGGGAAGAGTGTACCAATATAACAAAACAAAAAAAACGATAATCGAAAATATGTTGCCCGAGAAATTTGAAAAGTCACCTTACTTTTTGAACACACCTCGTACACTAGGCACTGAGAGAAAAATTAGAGTTAGTATAAACTAAAGTGAAATCTTTTTAGCCAGATAGGAACTTTGTAAAGATGTGGAATGAGTTAAGCTGATATATACATATTTTCTCCCAGTGTTATGACAACAATCTCTACAGTCCAGATTCGTGGCTACCAAACCAACCAACCAATGTTGTTGGCCACCTGTTTTGTCATCCATTAGCCATCTTCCTCTTGCATCGAACCTCTCTTTTTCTTTATGCGCCTCTTTGTTGGGAGCTTTGGGGTTTGGGGCTGGTTGCATGCAACGCCTGCTTAATGGCATTTGGAAATTTGTCAATCGTTGTTGGGCAGTGGCAATAGCAGTTGGCAGCGGTGGCTCGTGTTACCCCCTTTTTCCGCCAGCGGAAGTGGGAGAGCTATACAAAAAAATTGGCCAAAGCGGTTCTTCTGGGGCACAAGCGACCCCCTCTTACCACTCCCTCCCTCCTCAGCCACTATAAGCCATCCTCTTCGATCTAACGAAGCAATTAATTTGGCCTGGCACGTTCCCCGGTAGTGGAGTGGATCGTAGCTCCGGTTTCGTCTGCTTCCAGTTGTGTTTTTTTTTTTTTTAAGTTTTTCTTAGCTCCTGCAATTTAAGTTGATGTTGCGCTAAGTGCTGCCATTGCCCCAGGGGTGTGGCAGGAAGAGGGGGCTGCGGAATCGATACAGAGAGCGAGAGAGAGCGAAGGGGGGGGTCTATCATTTAAATGACGAATTGAGTCAAGTTGAACCGGCCGGCCAAGACACGCGCTATACTCCATATTCTATTCCTGATCGTTCCTTTCTTATAGCTGACAACCGGCAACATGCAACACATGCAATATGCAACATGTTGCCAGCCACTTTGTTGCCAGCGATAACAGACACGCATACAAATGCATTAGCATCTTTTTACAGATATATCGGCGATATGTTAACAGATTGAAGCTGGGAAATTGATTGACAGACAGCCGATGGAAAGATACAACAAGCTAATGGCAGACGACGTAGCAAAAAAAGAGAGAAACATAATTGATTGTTGATAATCGATAATTGATAACAGTGACAAACAGTGGAACTATTGATGTTAACTGAGATGATAACTATCAGTAAATCGATATGAAAGGTTAATGGCAAACTAATTTTCTAAGCTGATAAACAATTTTCGATAAATTCACCGAAAAAGGTTAATTTCTTAATCGATAATCGATAATAGTGACAAACAGGTGAAATATTGATGTTAAATGATATGATAACTACCAGTAAATCGATTTAAAAGGTAAATTTCAAACTAATTTTGTAAATCGATGAACAATTTTCGATAAATTCATCGAAATAGACTTGGTTTCTTAATCGATAACCATGAGATGGTAACTATCAGTAAATCGATATAAAAGGTAAATTGCAATCTCATTTTGTAAATCGATAAACAATTTTCGAAAAATTCATCGAAATAAACTTAATTTTTTTATCTATAATCGATAACAGTGACACACAGTGAAACCGTTGATGTTAACTAACTAATTTTGTTAAGCGATAAACAATTATCGATAAATACTTAACTTCTGCTTTATTTGTTATAAATTCTGACTATTCCTTCAACTTAATTACAGATCCAGCTACCAGAACTCTTATCAAACATAATCGAGGATGGCTAAGAAACCACAGAACCATATAGATAGACGCATACAGCCAATTTAACAGTACTGTGAGTGAATAGAGAGGGAGAGAGAGAGAGAACCCTAATGGCAGACGTCTATAGCTAGCTATGTATGATATTTACTAGGAAGTATTTCCTTGGATGCATACACTGCGCTTTATTACGCCATATTTGCACAAACATTACCACCAAACAGAACCCCCTTCTTAGCAACTCGGTTAACCTGTCCATAGAAGCGGAGACAACCAGACGATGTCGCTGTTTGTTTGCCTTCTTGAGCGGTGTTAATTGTCATAAAACGAAACGATGCGTAGAGGAATAAACATATAAATATATATATATATATATATATAGGAAAGAATTTATATAGATATATGTATGCATGTACACATTGATGAGGTGTCTATGGGGCTGTTGATAAGCTCAGCTTTTGGCCTGTTCACATTCCGTTTGGCATTCACCGCATTCTTTTTGGTCAACTACCGCCCAAAACCCATCCAATCGATCGCACTTTATGGCATCATTATGCTAATGGGCAATTGTGCATTGTCTCTGCCTGTCTGTCTATATATATATATCTATATATATAGGTATTATATCGTATATAGCACCCCCCAAAGAGCCCAATGAGAGAATTACCAGCAAGACTTTTGATTATTGTACAACGTTTACAGTTTGTTTTTGTCGTCGTTCATTCATTTCCATATGGACACGCTCATTTGATTAGCATACACATGGATTTGAGGAGTCGTACATCTGCATATAAATCTATATCTTTGTACATATCAAAAAAAAAAATATATATATGTAGATAGATGTATCGATTTGATTTGTTTAGCATTACGTGTGCGTTGCTCGCTCGCTCATTTGACCCAATTTGTTATGCAAATATTATGAGTTTTATTCTTGGTCTTTAAAGGAATTTTTCACCATGCCAAATAAAAGAGAGAGATAGATACCATTTTCCAGACTTTTTTTGTTTAGGGGATTTCATTGTTCTTCTACTGTCTTTTCTTAATCTGTGCATTGTCTTTTGCTGGAATTTGCATTCCATGATGTCATCAAGATCAAAACAAAAAGTTTTAAGTATATAATCTGAGAAGCTCACAAAAATTCCCCCAAAAAATTGCATTTAAAATGTAAATGATAGTTAAAATTGTGTGTTTATGGGGCTTGGAATTAAAATAAATTGAGAATTTTAAGATTTTTTTAAAATCAATTCTTATTCTTATTCCTGTTTGGCCAAGAAACAAGAATGCAAAAAAAAATCGCAAAAGGAAAATGGAAGTTAGTGAACGAAAGAGAACAAAACTGAAACTGGTTTCTCCCTTTTCCTTTTCAAATACAGTTGCTTTCCAAGAACAGAAATGCGATGGGGAAAAAAAGGGGGTACAAAAAAGCTATAAAGAACACCTTCAAAAAAGGCGTACAAAAAAAACCAAATGCAAAATGGTAAGGTAAAAAAATCAAAGGAGGTTGTGGTTTCCCCTTTACAAGAAAGGGCCGAAAGCAGAACCTTCTTTATACAATAGATTTATTTTCCCTCATTAGTCTTTTTCGTTTCTTAGATTGTTTTTCCTTTTTCTTTTTCTTTTTTTTTTTTTTAACTTTAAGTCCACCTTTTTTGCAGTTGTTTTTCTAATTTCGCTGATTTATGAGAACGGGGACCCACCCAAAAAAGAAAAAAAAAACAAATCGAGAATCTGAGAATTCGTAAAAAACAAAAACCAAAACAAATGTACTGACAACTGACTCACATGACCTGCCTGAACTTGGCTTTAATGGCTTTTTATTAGCCTGTTCCTTTCGTTTGGCCATTTGCCGTTTTCGCTGTTCGTCATTTATTTTGGCCATAAAATCTGTCTGGATCTTCTTCGGTTTCTCCTGTCTTCAGCAGTCTCGTCGTCGTCACTCCTGTCTGCCTACCAATTCTCCAGCCTTATCAGCATATTGCACTTGTGACGGCTCAAGGGGCTAAAAGAAAAAAGCAAAAAAAAAAGCGAAAAACAAATAAATATAAGGAGTAAAAAAAAATCCGCTTAAAATATATGAGAACTTATTACTAAAGTCGTTGGTTTCTTTATTTATTCTGCTTTTTGGCCCGACTTTTCGTTTGGAGGACAGTTATATAAATATTGATGATACTCTTTGCTGTTTACACAAATTTTTCGCGCAATTAATATTTCTTAAAGAAAACCAACAATGAATAATATTTTGTTTGTTAAATATGTAATAAAGATATTGAGTTTTTAATAAGAATATTTTAAAATTCTTATTCATTCTACACCTTCATAAGAAATCTTAAAAGATTTATTTAATCTTTCTTTAAACCATTTTTTTTTTAATAAGACAAAACAGACAGACACCCAAGACGATAATTTATAGACTGTATAGTATAGAAAGCTTGACATTAGCTAGAAGTTTTTGGCATCTAAAATATAGCCTTCTAGACATATTATATCCCCAACTGGCAGACAAGTGCAGATCCGTCCTGGTATTAATTGCACTCGGATTGCCAATTAATCTGCCCGATAATCGTATTAATTGCCAGCACCGTGGAGCCACTCATAAATATTGCTGCCAAGTTTAAAGCCGTCCCCCTCCACCACCCGTCTGACTTCTTCCTGCCTTCCAGTTTTCTAAAGCTAAAGCTAGCTAACATTGAAGATGCTGCAGCTGATCGGGTTGGGTGGCGCAGTGGCAGATGCAATGGCCAAATTGGTTCTTCCTATCCATGATAGCCAAATGGCTACCAGCAACCAACCACAGAACCAGGCTCAGGCTCAAAAGCTAGTTTCTTTCATAGTTAGAATGCAAAAAGCAATCAAAATGCAAAAATGAACAGCTGTTACCAAACGCGCATTAAATAGCGCGATTGATGCGTGAATAAATAAATACACTAATTTCTCTCTAAAAGATCGATTAACATAAATGTATAATGATGTGAATACGATATGAAAACAAATTATTTAAGAAATCTAAACAAATCATACATTTTAAGTTGTGGAATTTACATTAAAAGCTTAATAATTTATCAATAATATTTCTGAATAAAAATACTTCTTCAACGTTGTCATTAATTATAGGAAAATAAGCTGATTAAGGATACTAAAGAGAGAAGATAATGATACTTTTTTATCACAACTTACTTACCTTAAGCCAAAAGTTCTCAACATAAAAAGAGAACTAACTGAAAGGGAAACGTTGGCAAAGGGTAATCCCGAGTTAGTTAGTCGCCCCTTCTGGAAAATCTCATCTCCCGGCAAACCCAATGCCTTACATAGGCCAATCCAAACGAATCATCGCGGGACAAACTCTATAAAAGGTAAGAAAAATAAAAAAATAAATAAATAAAAAAAAAAAAAAAAAAAACATCTGCGGCAAGCAAACTTTACATGCAAAAAGGAATCACAGTTGGTAGTTTGCTTAGTTGGTTGTTGGTTGGTAGGTTGATAGGCGGCAGACAAAAACAGGATCAGGAAATTCCGGTTTGCTATTATTTTTATTATAATAATTTTTCTCCTTCTTTGCAGCAGATTCTTCTGAGGATGTGAGGCTGAAGCTCTTCTAATGCCAAAAAAATAAATAAATAAAAAAAAAAAGAAAAAAACAAAATATAAAAACCAAGGCAAGTGCAAAAGAGATGGACATAGCAGGAACAGGAATCCGCGACTCAAAAGAACATTGAAAGACGATACGGATACGATACCTACGTTCTTCTTGGTTCTTCTTCTGCTCGATTCTCGATTGGTCAATTCTTCTCCGGTAAGTCTTTACCCACCTCCCCCCCCACCAACACTCTCTTCTACTTGTTTGTTTGTTGTGGTGTCTCCTTGAACTGGCGCTGCTTGTCGATCTGGCCGTGACTCGTTTGCTATTTTTATAATCAGCAGAAGATCGAAATAACTGGGCAATAATGGGGTATACTCATTGGGGGCCGAACAGGGTTCGATGCTAAGTTCGATAAGAGATTATGGCCAAGTATGGGTTTGGTTTGGCTAACAAAACATTTGCAGAATTATATGGCTATCACTAATTTAATCTGTTTTTCTTTTTGTGCTGCTAAAATTACTACTCAGATCGATCGAATTATGATTAAATTTATGTACATAGGAGTAAAATGTATCAGTTGATGATACATATTATCGAAAGATAGTTAGATCAGCACTTTGGAGAAGTATTCTTTAGATTTATCTAATGAGAAGAACATTAGTATGCAGTCTTCTTGAGAAAAGGCGTAGGCATCTTTCTATTCTTACAGGATACCCTCTAAGTTGAAACACCTTTCTCACACATAATCTGTAGCTTCCGAAACCCAAAGGATAACAGCAGAAAAAAAACAAAAACAGAGAAGAATCTGCCTTACTTCTCAACTACCTCCTAATGTGCGGCCCGTTGGGTGAACAGGTTCTGGCAGCCCCCTCCCTCCTTCCTTCTGCTCGCAATTCTTCTGCCCTCTCCTCTACCGCCATCCATTCTTCTCTCTGTGATCTCTTCGCATTGCGAATTCATTGCGATCTAAGCTTGATCCCCCCCCCCTCCACGTACTTCCCCCCTCAATTCTATGCTTTGGATTATTGATTGCTCTGGGTCTCTGGGCAAACGTGTGCCAAGAGTAGTGGCTCTATATCCCATCTCTTTCACTCACCATAGTACCATCTCTTTCGTTCGCCCACTGTTGAGAAGGCTGAGCATTTGTCGCCATGGCAAGTATTTGCTTTTCCACTTTGCATTCGCCGTCGAATTATTATTTATGGGACTGCATCTAATACAGAAGACGACGGCTACGACGACGACCACGAGGACGACGAAGAAGAACCGATCGCTGAAGAATCGGCCAGCTATAGCCTCTGGGCTATTGATGTCTTTGTTTATTGCTCCGGTTCCTGTTCGATTCGGTTCGATTTGGTACAATGTGTGTGGGGCTTTTCTTTTATTTTTAGTTTTCCATTTCGGCTTTCAGCTTTCAGAGTGAGAGAGAGAGAGGTAAAAGTGGGAGGAGGATCCATTGGCTGCTGGCCTTGGGGTCCACCACTAAACCGAATGCTAATTAGACATCTTGGGGAATCTCGAAAGAGAGCTGGATTATCCAAAGATCGAGTGCATTCCGTTTGGGCCAAAACATCTGGCTGACATTGCAGACAGCTAGCTCTAATTGACAGCCGCTCTAATGGAGGAATCCAATACCCAAATCCAAATCCAAATCGAAGTCCAAGACCAAATAACCTGGAAAATACCAATGGTAATTAGTGATAAGAAGGATTCTCATAAGATTAACTCTTAAGACTATTGGTTTATACAGACTTTCTTACTTACTTAAAACATAATCTACCTAAAACTTCGAACCAAGACCTTGACCTGCCACTTATCCAAACTCTGACCTTGAAAGAAGAACTAACCTAACTCTGTAGATCAGCAATTTGCATAGGAATTTGTGCCTTGCTCTTTGCTACACAATCGCTTCTTCATCTATCGCTTTTCTTTGGTTTTTATGCACTGATCTAATGCATTTCACAAATGCCAACGAGTGACTTATTGACGCAGCATGTGGCAGCCTGCAAGGTAAACCCCTGCAAGCAGAAAAAGGGGATATCTCAGATCTTCATGTATCACAGCAGATTGCGAATGGAAGTTAGAGTGCAGCTCACGTACGCAATTGTTGGCTGATGATTGGAAGGAAAATGCCAAAGTCAAAGCCAAAGTCCAAAGCCCGTTGACAACGCCTTCGTATAGAACTGGAGCTGCAACTTATGGGCCAGAGATTATTGGGCCACCGACGGAACGAACGTTGAGCCTTATAGCATAGTTCATTTCATTCAAGCAGGCACCAGCACAATTCCACGAAAGTGATTGATTACAATCGATGCAGCATCAGCACCGATCCAACGAACCATCCGCAGATCCCAACTAAATGTAATGCAATGTAATTCAAGGTGCGGCGGGATGGTGGTGGTATGGGCCAATAGCGATCAATTAAAACCGACTGATGATGATCAATTATCGGCGAAAGATGAAGACCAAAGTGAAGAAGTTGCAGTTGTGGCCTGATCTTGATATGAAAATACACAGAAAGAAAAGTAAATGGGATTAAAAAAAAAACAGATTTATAAAGATGAAAAGATGTTTTTTTAAGTTATTTCTTGATAAATAAGGATTTTTCATTCCTTAATTAACTTCAATTTAATGCCCTGATTTAAATTTTGTAAATTAAAATGAAATAAATTTTCTTTTCTCTGCACAACTGGCCGGAGAACTCGTACACTTGATCCCAGCCAAAGCGAATCCGTCTGTCCAGCATTTCTACGATGACGACAATGACAACGACAATGACGATGACGTTGGCCAGTCATCGTCGTCGTCGTCATCCTTTTTTTTTTTTCATTCTTTTTGCTGCCGATGCTTGTCATGGCGACGGTTGTTGTTGCAACAGTTTTAACACATCATAAAGCTGCTTAAAGTGTGCTTATGGTTCGCAGCGGCAGCTCTCAGTCGTTCGTAGACATTACATAACTAGCAGCAGAACATTCTCAGATCGATCTACACCAATCGCATCGAACGGACTTGTTTCATTTATTATTTATTTGTCGCCTTTCGATTGGCCGGGGTGAGAATTGAAAGGTCAAAGAACTTGAGAAGAAAAAAAATCTTTTAAGGTTTAAAAAAAATAGGACTTGGCTTTGTAGAGTTGTAGAGGGAAGTTAGACACCTTTATCTAAGATTCTTCTCTTATATTACTTAAACTTTTTTGAAATCATTAAAGATAAAGACAAACTATATATTAATCTAACCAACAGACCACCCACCCAACCTCTGATGAATATAAATATAATTTGGCTAAGCAATCAAAAGCTTTAAATTTTTATAGTCTACTTTTCGATTAGTGTTGAAAATCGAACCCAAAACGCTTAACCTTCGTTGTATTCAGAATTTTATTAACTCTTTCGTTGAAAATAGAATCCAAAAAAAAAAAAAAAACAAAATATAATGATTTCTTATGGCTTTTGGTTGTTTTCATACTTTATGACAAATAGACCTGACTAATTGTGAGGCACTTAAAAATATTTTACAGAGCCATCAATCGGCTGTGGGTAATATACTGATATTTATAACTCGATATAAAAATATATTTTATGATCTACCATTCTTTGTCAAACGTCGTTATGTCTATATGTCTGTGTGTGTGTGTGTGTGTTTCTGTGTTTGTATGTTTCTGCATTTGTATTTGTCGTTAAGGGCAATA